ACACTCTGCATGCTCAGCCCGAGGTTTCCTCAACCTCCTTCTTTCATTAAGGAACCAAGAAGGGACCATGCAGTGTCCAAGATGCACGGCTATCTCAGCTGAAGCCAGGACTCCAACCCTGCACAGGTTTTGAGTGTGAAGTCCTGGGCCAGTGGTTCTCATGTCACGCCACCCGGAGGGCCAGGACTTGGGTGGGGACCAGTCAAACCTGCAGAGTCAGGTTCTTGCTCAGGACCTAAGTGCTGCCCAGATTGAAAGGTAACTCAAATGACAAACATCCACCACAAAGACACTTCTCCTCTAGCCAGAGTCCAGAAAATTTCTCCTCTCTGTCCTTGTTTTGGATAGCTAAGCAAATACATTTTCAAAGCTCTTTTCTGCTACCTTTTTCATCTCAAAGCATGAGCCAGCCATAGTCTCGGAGCTGGGGAAGAGGATTCCAGGTCCTGTGGGTGGGCAGCCCCATCAGAGATTTCTTAAACATCACTTTGACCGGAGCCCGCAGTATCAGGCAGGCTGACAGACGCCAAGAAAGTGTGCTTGGAGGCTCCCCAAGGCATGTGCCCACATTGGCCAGGGCCTCCTCTGCTTTCTGGGCCTTTTACCAATGTGACTGCCGATCAGGTAACCAGCCCAACGGGCTGAGCCGAGTCCTGGGGGGGAAGGGACCTTAGGGGTGGGAGGTACAGTAGGTCATCCCCAATCCTCCCACTGGGCACAGTGGCAAGTGCCCCAGGCTGGTAGGATGGGACAGGTATCCTGCAGCCAGGAGAAAAGACCACCACAGCACCTCACTGGGGCCACAAGGAAGAGGACAGAGTGGGCAGGGAAAGGGAGAGGGCACTGGGCAGAAAAGGCACAGGATCAATGGGCTGGAGGGGCAGGGCCCAGGACTGAGCCCAGGAGCGGTGGGCAGAGGGGCCGGAAGGCCAGTTGGTGCCACATTCTATGACAGAGAAACCCTGACTACTCCTCCACTGATGGGTGTCACAAGGAGCTTTCCTGGCTGAGAACTAGGTCGGGGTGGGAGAGTCTGGACCACAGCTCAGAGCCTCGGCTGACACCAGTAGGGTCAAGGCCAGGTTTGTCTCATGGAAGACACATTGGGCCTTGTGTGAAGGGCTGGGAGAGAGCTTGGGAGGGGTGTCAGTGTCAGGGATCAGGCTGTGGCTGCAACACTTCAGGCACCATCAACTGAGGCTGGGCCTCCCCTAAAGAAGGCAGAGGAACCAGATCACACTGCCTGCATTCAGAACAGGGGCCAGTACAAGCTGCCCACCAACTGCTCCAGCACTGAACTCCTGTCTGAGTGTCCCTGCCACAACTCCAGCCTTCCTACCGCTGCCTGGTAGCCTGCTGCATGCCCACCCAAGACTCTGGAAGGTGGCTGCAGACCTTGTCAGGCCAGTCATCAAGGACATACCTAACACCCACACGGAGAACATCAAAGCCAACACCTGCTGTGCCTGCTGTAGTCCTGACCAAGCCTGACCTAACACAGGCCACTGGAAGAACCATTTGCATGAGTGCCCTGGTCTGACCCCAGAGACAGTTTCCCAACCCAGGTGGTGTGATGTGCACGGCATGTGGGGAGCCGACACCGTGGGGCCAGGGGCTCGGATTAGGGCGTAGGGGAACAAGCCCAACCGTGCAGCCATGTCTGCTTCACCTCGCGAAGGCTGCTCTGGAGGCACAGGGTGGTGTCTGGGGGCCAGACAGCAAGCTCTCAAGCTAACTATGCACCCAGCCACCCCCAGAGGCCCAGAGAGTTGTCTCCCTCGGCCCCAGTGCCAGGCACAGTACACAGGGCTCAGCATGGCCACTGGCTCTTCCCCTCACCCTATAACTGAGCACCATCTGAAACTGCCCTCAGATGCACCGCATGGCTGCTGCCCGCCCTGAGCCGCATGTCCTGGTGGGGTCAGGCAAACCGTTGCCAGTAGGAACAGAGAGCAAAACACACCACATCCTGAGGCCAGCCCACCACAGACAACCAGTTCACATGACTCACCAGAGGACGCCAGCAGAAGTGGAGGGGCTGAGCCCAGGCCAAGGAGTGATGGCCGGCAGTGGAGCCCATGCCATCCTTGACCTGATCCTCCCGGGAGCAAACCTAGCTTTGATGGCAACCAGGCAGTGGTGCGGGCCTCCAGGTCCATCCCGACCCCCGCCCTCACGTCCCCAACCAGGTTGGCAGGGATGGTGAAACAGAACACTGCATGCAGCAGGGAGCCACTGAGAGGCCTTCCCTTGTTCCCCCAGCCCTCCCTCAGGCCCCTCACACCCAGGCTCCAGCACAGGCACGGCAGAGCATCCACAACCTACGTGGCCCTGACCCGTGGCAGGTCTTCCAGCAGCCCAAGTGAGTTCTGCCTCATAGCAGGGCTCCAGCCAACCCTTCCAGAACTGAGGGCTCTCCTGCTGGTCAAACGTTCTAAAGCTTTTTCCAAGCCTCTGGAAACGAGAGGGGAGCAACCCCTTGCCAAGGCCCCGAGTGGGGCAGAGGCCGGTGCCAGAACCCACAGCTCAGCACCAGTGGGCTCTCTTCACTCAGCAGGCCTATTCCCAGGGAAGCCACTATGCAGAGCCCACGAGGCCATGAGAGAGGCCATGGGTCAGGTGGCCCCAGCGCCTTCACTCTCCATCACAGCTGCTCAGCCGCCTGCCTCCAGTCTGAGCTCAGCTCCCAGCTCAGTGCGGGCCGGTTTAAACCAGCCAGGCTCAGAGGCCCAGTCACCACAGCTCCAGAGGCAAAGCTGCAGCTCTCTGTGCTGAGCGGCCCAAGAGCCGGCACCACATGGCCTGTTATCATGTCAGGTCCAGCTCCAATCCACTCACAGGAGGGGAGATGAGGAGAACCCCAATTCCCCTATGCCACCCACCCTGCAACCACTAGCTTGGCTTCCTAGATTCTCATCCAAGGCCCAAGAAAGATTTCTTCCACCTGGCAGGATCATGGGCAAGGAAAAAAGAAGCCAGAGAAAGGACAAGTTCTGAGGGGCACCCATAAGGCATTATGAGAAGCCCTACCCCATCATGCTGGGCCAGGAGGCCTCTGGCCAGGAGCGTCCCAAAGCACAGGGGGGCAGGTTGAGAGCCTGTGTCTTCTCTCCAAGGAACTCAACCCACTTCCCCGCCCATGCCCCTTCCTTCCTCTCTCCATCACCCAGGTGCACTGGAAGCCTCCTGAGCAAGCCACCTTATACCAGAGTGGGACGGGTCTGAAGATCCAGAGGCTGGGGAAAGGGCAATCCAGACTAACTCTGCGCTGTTTACAACAGGTCTCTCTCACTCACAGCCCCCAATGTGAGTATAAGAGAGGAACAAGGCTTCAACAGCCGTGCCCAACTTCTATAAATGCAAAGAAAGGTGATAGGGTATTGTTTCATTCTTCTAAGGGGCTCTGGAGGGAAGGGTTATCAGAGATGGAGAGACTGAGCTGGAGACAGACAACAGAGAAGGCAGGACACTGCACACTGGCCCTGGGACCAGAGTGTGGCCCCTGTGGCTATATGGTGCACACGGAAGAGCAACCTGGACCAAACACCCCCTTCGACGGCCCCGAGTGGGTTAAGGACTCTGAGTCCAGCCACCATGCTGGACCTTCATATAGAAGGAAAGTGGACAGACCTCCTGAAGCACTGGTAGCCCGGGAAGACAGGTCTGGCCAGGGTGAGGTGGGATGTGACAGGAGCCTAGCCCGAGGCCCAGCATGCCCAGAAGGAGCTGGACTGTGCTGGGGCTGGAGAAGGGACCCAAGCTGGGGGGCTTGATGCAAATGGTTCATCCAGACCAGGAATGAAGGGAAAGGGCAGGAAAAGAGGTATTTCCCTACATTTTCAACGTTCTTCTGGAAAGAAATGGCAAGGTGAAGCAGGTCCTTCTGCCCCCGAGAATAAAAGGGTACAGAATGCGCACGAGGACACGTTTGGGAGGTGTGTATGCCAAGGAAGAGAAAAGCAGCTCTTGATGAAGAGGGAAGACCAGGGCTCCTAGAGCCCAGGAGCTCAGGAATGAGGGGGTCACGCCCGGAGGTGGGGAGGGTGGGGAGGAGCGTGGGGATGTGTCACCAGCTTTCCCTGGGGTCAGCGTGAGGACTGGAGAGTGCTGAGGAGGGGCCAGCAGGGGACCTGAAAAGAGAAGAGGCATCTCAGGAAATAATGGGAGTCAAACAAGAAAAAAATAGGGTTCCGAACAAGAAACAAGAAAGTCCTGAGAGGAAGAGAATGAGGAGCTTCCGAATAAGCACCAGAG